GTATTCAGGACAATCTCAGATTAGATATGGAGTGGAGCTGTGCGTGGCCCAGTGGACCTGCCCTGGGCAGCCCGGCAGAGCCTTGCTCCAAGGAGCAAGATGTGCTTTTTGCTGAAGGGATGAGACATGATAGCATTACTTTGTTTTGCATTTATGAGACGTCTTTCAGAACCATTGTATATGAGCAAGCATGTGTGGACTCTGGAGCAGCTGAGAGTGAGTGATCCCTTCCTAAGTCTCTGCCTGTGGGCTTTCCCATCCTTACCTTCTGTTGTTAGTACTGCAGTGATGGTAGTACTGCTCCCAGGTGTTGTAGGTGTGGTAGTTGAGGACAGGAAAAGAAGAGACATGGTAGCCATGTTTAGTGTGGAGTGGAAGAAAATCCTTGGGGATTTCTTGTGTTCCCAAGAACCTCAAATTAAATAAGGAGGGGACATGCACGGGTTCTATTGTAGACTAGTCCTGCCCTTATACTGTCCATGGCACTGATAGCTCTTTAGGCTGTCATGCCCATATTCCCCGGCTAGTACATCCTCCCCAGAAGCACATGCCATTCCCCCAAGCACATACTCAATGTCCACAGCTGGCCCAATTAACAGCACAGATGTGTCTTCAAAGGAATGTTCCCCCCAAGTTCTCCAAGCAGGTTCTGCATGGCTAGCACTCTCCAGATCCTGTTCTGAATCTCACCTAAATCCACAAATATTTCATTCACTGCAAGACAGATAAGTATTTTGAAATTGTAAGAGACGCTTTCTCGAGCATCATTAAAAATTCCAGATGGACTCTTTCAGAGCAGTAATGGAGAAACGCGTGTCTTTTCTAATGCCATTTCCTCAGATGAAACAAATCCAGGTGCATATTGAAAGTAGTGTATTTCTGTTCATATAAGGCAAATTCTGCCAAATTATCATCAGTGTAATCAAGATCTTTTTTCCAGGACTGCACTACTATGTAGTCATGATATTATGTTTTACTTTTTTGTCATTTATTTTTCTTCCTTGTTTGTCTGTCTAGTGTTGAAAGTAAAGGAAGCAATATACAAAATACAACAGGCTTGCTGCTAAATTTGTGATAGCAATGAACAGTTTGGATCACACAACCTAACTTCAGTCTTTGTTACTTAATTTAATTTAAGTGGAGCTGTGCATTTAATCTGGGTTAACGTCACACTCATAATTTAAACAGCATGAACTGGAACTCTCATATATTTGTGGCTAACACTCTTGGCACTAGCAAACTCTTATAGCTGGTGTATTAAATACAATACTGCAAATAACACTAAATTCTCAAAAGACACTTGAAAAATAGGCCCCTCTCTTCAAAAGCTTTTGCAAGTTTTCAAAAATCCAAAAGAGAAGCAAATTTAATAAGCCTTTTTCTTCTCATCAATAAAGCTGTCTTGGAAAAGGCTCACCAAAAAGGCAAGGCCTAAAGTAATCCCTTAGTGTGTTCTGGGTGAAGAGGAAACGTGGTTTCTCAGTCCTGCGGGCAGAGTTTTGTTTCCTGGTCGATGTCAAGAGATGGACATTTTGGTTATAGCCATGATTCTGTGTTGTCTACAGGCTAAGAGTTTGGAGCACTGTTTTAAACTTCCTTCTCAAAATCAATGTTACATCACTAACGTCTTCAGTCAACAATGTTTAGCTTTGTACAGGCTGGCTAACAGCCCTCCACAAGTACCCTTTGGACTCAGGAAGAATCACATCTGTGTGACTGCAGAGCACATGAACTGCACCTGGGCTTGGCACAGGTAACACAAGCAAAGGTGGCTCTTTAATGGCCCTATCTGCCCAGCCCCAACTTTCTGTACCAGGAAACAGGATGTGTCATAGATTCAGGCATTTACCATGGACGTAATAGATCTTAAGATTCAGGGTATGAAATAGCAGACATCTGGGTACCAAGCAGAGTAGGCCTTTGTGAGTACTTTGCAAATGGACACAACACACAAAGCTTTTACAGTGTTTGCTTAGAATGAAGTAGGTTTCTGGGCATGGACAACCTTAGGAAAAATCTACACAAGTCAATGGAAGGCTCCCATGGCCTTTGATACTTCCTAGGACAAGATCTTTCAGTCTTACTGTTGTTCTCCAAACAGAAAACCAACCAACTGCCAAACTTGAAGTCTTCTATGCTTATAATTTATAAATCTGATTGTAGTATGCTGTAGAAGTTGCTATAAATATGTATATTCACTCACAATAGGTAACAGACTCACTGCCATCTGTCCCCATCTGATGCAATCTTGGCAGCATCAGTGAAAGTCTTAATTTGGGTCATATCTCTGTTTAATTGTCCCTGAAGAAAATGGGATTTCCTGTCCTTTCACAGCTTCAAGTTGCCACCAAACTCCTCCTACAGCTACTTTTACAAACTCCCTGCTACACTTGATCTGTTGCTGAATATCAGATACTCTGACCTGTAACCACCAAAATTGTTACAGGGCTAGAAAAACGATTAAGCGGTCTATGGAATGATTCCTGCCCTGTCTTTGAATAGAGCACAGGGCAACCCTCTGCCATCTGAGCTGGTGGCGAAGTTCTTGTTAATTAGCTTCAATAGGAGGGGAATGAATGCTCTGAGAGCCAGTTCAAGCAGTGCTGCTTTCCAGACTGATTGTTTAAGGAGACTCCATCCGGAAGGGCAGTGGCAGCACTCTTTTTCCTGGGTGCTGGGCTGGAACAGTCAAATCTTTTGTGATGACTGTAATAGAGCTTGAATTACCTGGGTTTAGTGTGCAAGTCCTGAAAACTGCTCGTGGAATAGGCTGAATTAGGTTAATCACAAGCCCCAGTGCTTTTGCATTGTTCTGTGAACAAGGAAAACTGTTTTCTTGCAGTAACGTTTTTCATCACTAATTAATCAAAATCTAGATGTGCTGAATGGTGCGTGGCCACTGACTTCAGTCTCTCAGCAGCTGCTAAAAGCACTGAGTAATCTATTCACTGCAATAGAATAGCTCCTCAGACAAATCCCAAAACAGAAGATAATGTTTCTTACCTTCTGAAAGGCTCAACACCAGGCAAAGCAGCACAGTGAAGAACATACAGCGTCCCATTGCTGCCCCTGCTGCTGCTGCTACTCCTTGCTAAACCTGAGATGAAGTGCTTTTCTCTTCCAGCGTCAGCTCATTTAAGGTCCCAGCCACAGGTAGGGAGTTCAGCCCCGAGCTGACGTCATGGTGGCAAGTGGCAAATGACAGATCCAAGCTGTTTTTTTCTTTCCTTCTCAAACTGGGAGGAGACTTCTGGACCCGCAGTATTCTTCCTGTAAGTTATAAACATTTGAGACCTGTTGACACAAGGAAGTTAATTAATGCTAAATACATTGACACAAACTGACAGGACACTAGCTATCCCTGCTAGCTCAGCAAACACTTTCGGTGTAATTTAGGTGGAGGGTGCAGTGCAGTCTGTTCCTAAAAGGAGAAAAAGCTATCCCATTCCAAAGCATGCTAATGATGTACTTAGAGCAGAGTATCTGGGACATACACACTCAAATCTTTGCAATACATTACCAGTGCAGACAAATTCTGTCTCAGACCTCAAGCTCTCTATACTTCAAAGCAAAATTTTACCCCAGAGCATCTCTTACTGCTCAGCTGCTCAGGGTGAAAAGCAAGAGAAAACACCTGCATCTTCAACATTCACAAAACTGAGCTGGCTTTGGCTGTTTTGGGAGTGATTACAGCTGGTCTATTTGCCTACATCTTTGTGTGTTATTGGCTAGTTAAAGCAGTGTGGCAAAAGAAGCAGGAACAGGGAGGACAGCCAGCAGCTATTTAACTATCTGGGCAACAGCCGTTCTTTCTTAGGAGTAACTGTGTTTGTACCTGGGAGACATTTGGAAACAGGAATGTTGAGGCTGTTACAGGGAACCTTCAGGAGGCCTGAAAATGGGAATTAGCACAGGGAGCCATGGAGCAACTAACACAGCCAGAACTTGGGAAAAAATTGATGGATTTACTGAAATCACGTATCAGGAAGCTCTGAAAATCACAGAATCATTAGGGTTGGAAAAGACCATGAAGATCATCCTGTCCAACCATCAACCTTTCACCACTGTGCTCACTAAACCATGTCACTCGATATGACAGAATAATGATGTAAAGACCAACATAAGGAGGAAGACCTGTGGACAGTAGCTATTTCTCCGCAGACTGCTTATTTTCAGCTGCCTCACCTACACAAGTTCTCTAGCTCAACAGTGCATTTGTTCTACATTGTGTCCCAGTAAAACATACCACTTGAAATCAATAGATGCCAAATTGCCCATGGTATGTTGCAGCTCCTCCTTTCCAGGAAAAGATGCCATTGAGTAACTTTCTCCCACTCTGAAGGTCTGTCTGATCCTAGATCCTGCTGCACCTGCCAGGAAAGCCTTTCTGGGAAGCACACACAGATTATCCTGCCATTGTAACCCATGGACAAGAAAACACAAGCAACCCACTGGTGTATCCCCACAGTGCCACTTTGGTGGGAGTCTGTGGGAGTCTGCTCTTTCCTGGCAAATGCCACTGTCAGCAATACTAGCACGTTGTTAACAATTTCCAAATGCAAATTGATGACTTGCTTTTGAAACTCCTCTCCCCTTTCTTCACCTGCTTTTGTCTGATCCTGCTGTGCTAACAAGACATGCAGTCTGTGTGCTAATCTAATAATGCATTCAGAGGGTGGCTCTCTCTCTGCAGGAGGGTGGGCATTACTCAAGCTGTTTGTGTGCTGGGGTTGTCCTCAGCTTTTAACTTGTGCTGAACCAGGAAATATTGGTGGCTTGCAAACAGCAACAGTAGTTGGGTGCCTCTCTGCCAGCATGAGGAGTGAGTAGCTTCATCCCCCAGCAACCTGTTATAGAGGCCATGACTGGGCCCAGGACCCAGTCACAGAGGCTGCCCTGGTGTCCCCGGGGTGCTGGAATGGGCTCTGGTCTCACACCAGGAAACCTCTGCCACCCCAAGATGCAAACTGAGAGTAGAAGAACCAGGTCACTTCTCAGAGTATTATCAGAAATGTGTGCTGAAAGTCAGCAGGTGTAGATGATAATGGCTGAGGGCTGACTACATCAGCTGCTACTGATTACGTTGTCCAGCTCATGAAGACTGTTTTCTGCAATGAGTGCACAAGAGAGGCTGGCATACCCTGAGCCATGCCTTTAGAACCAACTCCCACTCTTCATTGTTTGCTTCTGTCACCTCTGGGACGTGTGACATCTTCACCATGCAAAAAGCACCAGGAAAGGCACTGAACAAACATCTGCACACTTAACAGATTTTTTTCCTCTACTTTTTGACAGATCAGCTGTCACAACAGGCTGTCCTGGTGAGAGGTGAGGTGATGAGGCTACATGTGCCTCTTTG